TATATATATATATATATATATATATAGTCTGTATATATAGTGTGTGTGTGTGTGTGTGTGTGTGTGTGTGTATATATATATATATATATATTATTCAGTCTGCAATACCATGAACTTTTCCATTTATTTTGGCCAGGTTCCCAGGTTCCTAGGGGCACTCAGTATGAAGCCATTAAACTAAACTAGCTGGGTATTTTCTGAATCACTCTGATGATACAAATATGGACTACAGTTTGTGACAGTACCAGTCTGCCCTCCGTATTCCCCCTTTTCTGTTCACTCCAAGGCAGTCTTCCCCCGGCTGTGGGATGAGGGGAATGGATGTAGTTCTGGTTCACTCTCTCCTGAGGGTATATCTCTTTAGGACCGCAGAATCATATAGGTGGTCTCTAAATATAGGCCCCTCCTTCTGTTTCAACAAGATCAGCAAATGTTTTCAAGGCAAAAGTGGCTTCTTGTGCTCAGTTCTCTGGATTTTTAGATTTTGCCATAATACTTCCTTACTCTCTTCACAACTGCTACATTTTTAAATGATATATATTTTTTTGTTTTTATATTTTATTCATTATTCCCATTGTTTTCAGTGGAAAGTCTTGTTACACCAAGCAAGGCAAGTCTCCACTACTCTACACTTCTATTTCCTTACATATGAGATGGGGAGAATAAATGCACTCCTTCTTACATCAAAGTATCAGCTGAAATAATTGTGCTTTGAAGACTGTGAGGCCCCAGACAAATATTGTCATTTTCTTCCCACTCATCTGTCCACACCCAATATGCTCTGTGGATCCCTCTTCCCCTACCAACCTCTTAAATGTTGGTGATCCCAGTTGTCTTCTCTTAACCTCCTATTTTTCTTCATCTTTTTACTCTTTCTTAGTGGTCTCATCTTAGTTATTAGTCTTAGTTCAAAGTCTTAGTTATTTCTCTGCCTCATTTCTAGCTTCTGAGCTATAAGCCCATAGATCCTGCTGATCATACCAGACTCATCACACACATTCCCAGGACATGTGAGCCTCAGTGGTGGGCTCTGCTCGCTCTCCATCCACTGTGCAGTTGTCTAGACCTGGGCATAGGCCTGAATTCTTTCCTCCCTCACACACCCATTCAGTCATCAGATGCTGCGAATTATACTTCCTTAATTTTTCTCAAACTTGCCCTTTTCTGTTATTCTCCTATTTGGTCTCAGTCTCCAGTTTCTACCTCCCAACCCATTCTCCTTACCATCAGCCAAGTGATGTTTCTAAAATGCACATCTGATTCTACCACCTCCCTGCCGAAAGTCCTTAGCAGCCCCTCGTGTGCTACAAATAAACTCCATCAACATTGCTAGCAAGGCCTTTCATGAACTGACTCTGCCTGCTTCTCCACCCTCCTTTCTCTTCACCTTTCCCCATTTCACGACATGCTCCTTATTCTGAACTATTTGCATCTCCGTTTCTGGATAGACCACTCTATTCTCTGTCTGGGTGAATGAAGGGATTCACATTTGACCTACTCCATCTTTCAGCTGCTCTAATACTTGTTTTGATTGACAGCTGATACTTGAGCTCTCCCATTAGGCCTATTCCCTTTCCCCCTTGGACCACACCAGCCGGGTCTCTCAGGCTTGGCCAGCACACAGCCGAGGGGGATTGTTACCTCCTTTTTTCTAATCACTGTGCTCCTAACACCACCTAAAAGAGCACTGGCTTTTTAGCAGCCACATCAGAAGTCCCCTTCTACATAAGCAAACTGTTCATCCATGCCTCCCTCATCCTGAGTTTGGCATGGTGGGTTTTCTGTATCTTATCACAGATGCTGATCTGACATTTGAACAGACCTTAGAGCTTGCTAAATTTCATCCTGTTTGCCGCGGCCCTTGGTTCAGTCTGTTGAGCGATATTTTTAGCCAAATTCTTACATTGTAAAATAAAAGAAATCCCCTTTCGCCATACAGATAAAGGAACTGCCCATGATCAGAGATGCTCAACACCAGCTAGAAATGACAGCAAGCAAAGCAACAGCAGCCCCCGAACCAGAGCCCAGGGCTCCTGATCCCCACTCATATGCTGCTTCTAAAATGACATATGAATGTCCCATTCCTGAATTTAACCCTGGGGGAATACTCTTCGCTTCTAAAAGGATTAAGTTAAAGGTGTCAGATTTTAAATGGCATTAATCCCTTTGGCCAAGAGAAGGTATAATAAAAATAGCTCCGCTCTGAGCAGCTGGAAACCTCGGCCTCACCACTGCTAGAGCTCTTCTCCCAAAATTGCCATGGGAAGGGTCTGATACATTCCTCCGGAATCTTGCATTGTGTCCTCCTCACCCACCTATTGACTGTCCCCCTATTTTAAGACCTCTGTTTTAGAGACAAAATGAAACTTTCTATGTTATAATTAGGGTGAAACTTTTAAAAGGCAAAGCACTGTAACATGTCACAAGAGACAGGAAGAGCCAGCTTCTTCTCCAGTATGGGGTATAAGAGGGATTTTTTGAAGGCTTGTTTCTTTATTTCACTGGAGTAAAATAAAGATTGGTCACTTAATTGTAAATCAACAGAGCTGCTGTGCACCTTCCTGTAATTGCTCTCAGGTAGAAATTTAAAATTCAGTATATGAAAGTTGGTCCTTTCAGGAAGAAAAAAAGAGTCATCTATGTTCTCAAAATCCATGAACAAAGGCTTTTCCTTCTCTGTTGAGTGTCTCTGGTCTTTGGATGTCAAGCCTGTTCCCCTCCACACTGCCAGGGCTCTTTGTGAAACCATATCTGATGGTTCCCTTTTTAGTCAGAACTGTCATGGTTATAACTAAATCATTGGGGAATCTCACAGCCATACCTTAGGGACATACTAAATGTAGGTCCTAAGCATTATGGAGGAGCCAGGAAGTTCTGTCTGTCACCTTTCACATCTGCTGCTCTCTGTGACTTGCCTCATTTTTCTGTACAGGTGAGCTGCCTGTGTATCTCTGGGCCCCGTGATGGGAAACATGACTGCCCAAAGCTTCTAAATATATTACAGCTCAGCCACAAAAAGACCATTTTTCTCCCTGTTCCTTTCCCTCTCTCACTGTGGTTAAGAGCACAGTAAATTCCCTCTCCATTCTTCATGGTTTAGTGTAAACTTTGCCTTCCTTGAGCCCTCACTAGAGTGGGCGGCTCCCACAAGCTTTGCACCTGCCTCTGTTATAGCACTTGTCCCACTAAGTGCAGTGCACCCACTTCTTCCACAAGGCTGTAAGCACCTTGAGGGGAGGGATGTGTTTGTTCTTTTTCTCTGTATTCCCACTACTCAGCGCCATAAATGTTTGTAAAAGAAATTTGTGAGCCCGGCAGGCGTGGCTCATTGGTCGAGCATTGACCTATGAACTAGATGGTCACAGTTCAGTTCCAGGTCAGGGCACATGCCCTGGTTTCAGGCTCAATCCCCAGTAGGGGGTGTGCAGGAGGCAGCCGATCAATGACTCTCTCCCATCGTTGTTTCTCTCTCTCTCCCCTCTCCCTTCCTCTCTCTGAAATCAATAAAAACATATTTTTAAAAGAAAAAAATTTGTGAGTATGAATGGATGAATGAATATTATACCCTCTTTAAATTCACCTTTGAAATATTTCTGACTTTAACTGTACTCTTGTAGCCCTTTTGGATTTTTGAACTCACTGCCTGTCTTTGTCAAGCTCTCTCTGGCCCAGGCAATAGCTGCCCTTCCATCTCCCCACCTTTTAATCCACTTGGGGATTGACGATGTGATGTGAGAGGTGAATGCTGCAGGACAGGGCCTGGGTTTCTAGTCAAGTTTGAGCTCTATCACTTTTTAGCTCTGAGACTTTAGGCAAGTCTGAGTTTGAGTTTCCTCATCTGAAAAGGAGATAACACCTGTCCCCCATAGTGCCATTGTGAGATGACATATATAAAACACCTAACAGAATGGCAGGAATGCAGTGAGCTCTGAAGAAATGTTACTTTCCCTTCCTCTTGCTGTGTGTGGTTTATATGCCTCTGTGTTTATTTGTGACTGGATGTCTATGTGTGTGTTTATGTGGGTGTTTGGGGGAGATGGAATGAGAACATGGTTTGAGTCATCTGCCTTTGTGTACTTAAAAAGAACTACCTAGGCCTCATCTACCTGGGGACAAAAACGAGGTCACATTAATGGTAGTACCTAACATGCCACTACTTCCTGCTTCATCTGTGTGATTCAGGACCTCAGCCTGTTAAATCCCACTCTCAGGTATTTCTAGGAATCCTCAGAGATTTTAAGTTTAAAAAGAGTCACTTTAGCCTCACTGCAGCCAGCCTACCCTTACCTCACCCACTCGGTGGCAAAGCTGTGGTCCACGTCAAGGACATAGTCTCTTGGTGCTTTCATGGTGAACATCCTTGCAGTGATACAGCATACCTGGGTATCTGCCCTGACCCCAAAATATGCAGTGTTCTTCCTGCAGAATGCTTCCCCCAACTCGGTCATGCCTCATTCACTCTGGTATTTTCCATGAGCACTAAAAGTGCCCCCCCCATTGTACCCCAACCTGGTCTCACAGACCCTATCAGTGAATGTGTAGACCCGTTCTCCATACAAAAGACTATATGTATGAGTAGGGTTGGGGGAGGAAACTGCATATCCCGGTCCTCCTTTGAGGGACCTCTCTTGGCCACTAGAGAAGTTTCCATGCTGGTTAGACCTCCTGGTTGGTTCCTTACCCTCCATTTCTTCCTGGGGATGGTGGAGTTTGTCCCCTGCCTTTGCTCATTAACCAAGTTCTTTGTACTCACAGGGAGGCATCTGTAACATCAAGCAAGAGGTACATCCTGAGGTTCCCAGCACTGGAGACACTGATGCTGGATGACAACAAACTCTCCAACCCCAATTGCTTTGCCAGCCTGGCCGGGCTCAGGAGGTAAAGCCACATAAGTCTCTCTCTGCAGGGCCCTCTGTAACCCCCAGCCTAGCTCACACTCTGAGTGCTGCTCTGGAAGCCAAAAGGCCTGGGTTTAAATTCCAGCTCCACCACTTATCTCTGCTGTGTGGCCATGGGTAAGTCATTTCTCCCCTCTGAGCTTTAGCTCAGCCATAAAAGTAGGGCATCAGTAAAGACATTTCTGATCATGTGACTGGATTAGAAGCCGCAAAGAGAAAGGGTGATAGGAGCAGATATTACCAGAGATGGGATCCTGACCTTGAGAGAGGAGACAGGAAAAAAAAAAGAAAAAAGAGTCAGAATCAGAAAGATAAGTTTAACTGCCCTTTTGGTTGAAGTAATGAAAATGCTGGCACTTAAATGGTTAAGCTTTAGATCCCTGGAAAATTTACTTTGGATTCACCTACTTTGTACCAAGCCATTTACATTACCTCATTTAATCTTCACAAGAACCTTGAAAGGTTAATAAATATTATCCCCATTTTAGAGAGAGAGATAGTAAGGCTCAGAGAGGCTAAGTCACTGACTCAGGGTCACACAAGAGGAGTAAGTGTCCAAGACTGATTCCATGTTTCTTCCCTAAAATTGCTTGGTAAGTGTCCCTGAGGTATAATTATTGCTGTGATTCCGTATTCACTTTCCTTAATTGAAGACTGAAGAAGTTAAGCCTGGACCAAAACAGGATTTCCCGGATCCCGTACCTACAGCAGGTTCAGCTCCGTGATGGGTCAGGGGATTGGGTTGGAAACAGAGGGAGTCCGCGGAGAGGGCACCAATCCATGCTGCAGCCCAAGTCATGGATGTTTGAGGCCTCAGATGAGCAACCGGATTATACCATCCTGCCCATGAAGAAGGATGATGACCGCACAGGTGGGTGGTGCCCCTAGTTCCGGAGACTCTAGCCCCGTGGTGAGAGGAAGCTTCTGAGAGTTTATCCTGAAAGCCTCCGGCTCCCTGGGGAGCTGCTGCACTTAAGCTATTGGACCTGCGGAGGTGGAGGTCTAATATGAAATATTTCAGTGACTTCCTAACTAGTTCTCAGTTAAGATGCTTTTAAAATCCAATGAAAAGTTATAAATTTAATGTTTTTAAATCCAATTAAAAGTTGATTAAAAAAAAAATTTCAACAAGAAACTCAGAGGTAAGGCTTGCCAGAGATGGTTAATTCTGGGGTGCACTGATACTCTCAAGGGATTCAGGTTCTTTCCAACCTCTTCTCTGCTGTCCTTGGCCCGCTTACTTGTCCTTGTAGGTTGGTTCCCACTGAAGTCTCAAGATAGCCACCATAGTGCCACGAATCACAGCCAGATGGCGACAAAGAGAGAGAGTTTCCTTTTGTGTGTTGCGTTTCATTTTGCTGTTTAAATTATTCTTTCAAAGACGGTTTATATGTAGATTTTCCTGAGTTTCTAAAATATTTAAAATCACCTTTATTTTGTTACCATACTTGAATGCTAGTTTGGTTGACTGGAGAATTCTAGCTTTAAAATAATTTTCCCTTAAAACTTTGACGATATTACTCCATTGCCCTCCAGATCTCTTGTTGCCAATGAGGAGTCTGGTGCCAATCTGATTCTCCTCTCGCTGTACGAAACCTATTTTTGCTCTCTGGAATTGAATATATCCCTTTTATCCTTTGGAAATTTTATGAAGATGCATCTACATGTACAACTCTTTTTGTTTATCCTGTGAAGTACTTTAAAGGTTCTTTCAATCAAAGATGCATGGTTTTCTTCACCTTGGAGAAATTTTCTTTATTTTCCCCTTTCCATTCGCTTTGTCATCTCTATCTAAAATTCTATCATATGCTCAAAGCTCTGCATCTACCTTCTAGTCCTCTTTTCTGTTATGCTTTATATTTCTTTGCCTTTTGCACTGCATTCTGAGATTCTCTCAGCTTAGTATTTCATTTTATGAATTAGCTCTTCAACTGGGTCTGTTCATTTACCCAGCACACTTATTAAGTCTTTTATTTGATTATCCTATTTTAAGAGCAAAGGGCTTATTACCTGACAGATGTCACAGCCAGCTCCTCTTCCCAGTTAGCATTGGAGCTGAGGACCAGTGAGGACCCCTCTAGGAGGCACCCTGCTGTAGACAGTGGGTGGCTGCCCGAGACCCTGGCCTCTCTAGAATCGCTCGATGCTCTCACCAACCTTTGTTCTGTTTCTCTTTTGTTTCAGAGGTTGTGTTCTCACCTTACCCTGGATTTTCAACCTCAGAGGTAAGAACCGTTTGTTTTATATTTGTGTCCTTGAGTTAGAACATTAATTTAATTTAATTTAATTTAATTTAACTTAATTTAATTTAAATATATCTTTATTGATTTCAGAGAGAGGAAAGGAGATGGAGAGAGAGAGACAGAAACATCAATGATGAGAGAGTCACTGATTGGCTGCAGCCCGCAACCCGGGCATGTGCCCTGACCAGGAATCAAATCCCGATCGCCTGGATCCTAGGTTGATGCTCAGCCACTGAGCCATGCCCAGCTGGGCTAGAACATTAATTTTAATAAACAAAAATAAGCTAATGGAGACATGAGGGACATTTATACATATCACATTGAGGAAGCCAATTCATTGAACAAATATTTCCCAAGTACCTATCACATGCTGGACACTGTGCTGGCCTGTGGAGATGCAGCAGTGGACTAGACAGATGGGTCCCTGACCTCACACAGCCCACAGGCCTCACTCACTATGCTCAGATGCTACTCAGTAGGCTGGGGTTGCTGCCTCATGTGATCAAGCTGTCATTGAAGTGAGGCTGCCACCAGGATGAATTTCATTAGCTCCTAACGAGAGCCCCCAAAAGCGGGTGATACTTGCCAAATACAGCACCATCCAGGGTCTAATCCTTGGTGCCACTGGCTTAGACACTTTATTTTTGTTAGCCCAGAATACTGATTTTTCTCTCAAAGTAGATACGTACTACCCAAGCTCATGAAGACTGATCACTAAGTGTTGAGTTGTTGTTTTACAATATGAAGGACAACTACACATTAGTTAATGGAGCTTGGAACAGAATCTTGTTCATTTGAACCCAATCATTAGCCCAACATCTACCTTGTAATTTCCTTTGATTTCATCTAACTCAAGGAACCAGTGAGTGAACTCAGTTAGGCATGGTTAATCCAACAATCTCAGTTTTCTGTTTGATCAAACATGTTGACCCTTAGGCAAGCTGGGTTGTGCTGAGAGGCCAGGACCCTGCAAGTTACCCAGATGCACATTTGGCCACATTCAGGCCCCACAGCCTGCCTGAAGTAATTAAGGACTTAGCTGTTGTTCCGTCCTGGCATGAAGAGCCTCCACTGTAGGACGTGAGCTAAGCCATCAGACCAGGTGTTCCATATCCCCACTAGGAAAAGTCCCCTTAACAATGCAAGCAACTTTAGCCCAACTTTGTTGAAGGAGGGTTCAGTTCAGGATAAACTGCTTTAGGACAGAGGTGGGAGGTGAGGGCAAAGAACCTCTGATGTCTACACCAGTGCTATATTAGCCTTTGGCCTCAGAGAACTTGAAACTGGAACTTTGGGTGCTGGAGAATTAGCTCACATGTGACCTCAGAGAACTTGGAGCCAGAACTCTGGGCCCTTGGACACATATTCCTTTATGACCCTAGATGTATGTTTTGGCCAAGCCTCTCTGCAATGGTCATTCTTCCCACCACATGCCATAGACAGGGTCTGTTGGCCCTTGGCAGCTTTCAACTTCTTTACCATCAAGGCACTTTGACTTTGATTTTTTTTTTTCCTTCTAAGACAACCAAGGTATGTGCACTTCCTCCCATATTCGAGGTTCTTCCCGTGAAGTTACTGAAGGCCAGGAACCAGACGCTGGCCCCACCCTTCCCAGAGCTGAGGTGCCTTAGCCTGGCCTACAACAAGGTGACTTTTTGCTTCTCTGCCTGTTTCCTCAGGGGCACAGATGGGAGGGTGGGCTGCATGCCAGCTGCTCTGGCCTCAAGGCCAGCCCTCTAATTCCCTGCATTATAGGTTTGGGCTCAGCAATTTCCAGGGTAAGGGAAGTGGAGGGAGTTTAGGCCAAGGCAGGTGTCCATCCATTCAGTCACAGGCATTTATTTAGCACTTATCATGTATCAGGCTCTGTTTTAGGCACCGGGTATACAGCTGTGTAAAGAATGATTGGGCTTCTGTCATTATGGGGCTTATCACCTATAGGGAAGACTAATACTGGACAAATAATCACAATATAAGCATGTTTAGTGTTATGAAGAAATACACAGTGCTATGAAGTATATGATGGGGGGTGGAGGGCATCTAACCTAATATTTGGGATTAGGGAAGGTTCTGGAGAGAGTGGTATTTAAGCTGAAATCTGAATCAATGAATTTAGTGAGGTGAAGAGTAAGGGCAGAGTATAGAGAACTGTTCTAGCCCTAAGGATAGAGCAGATATAAAGTCCACAGGACAGATTTAACATGTTTTTCCTTAACATGTTTTATGTTAATATCTTTTGCCAATATCCATGTCCTCTTTGAATTCCTGTAAAGCCCACTAATTGAGCCCTACTCAAGTCTGAAATGCAGGCAACTCTTAAGGTACTTTGCTTACATTTGTTCTAAGGCAAGTAGCTAACCCCGTGTTTTCTTAGATCATATAATCTAAGAGTCTTATAATTTTAGCTCCAACATTTAGGTCTCTGATCTATTTTGAGTTCATCTTTATGTATGGTGTTGAATGGGGTTTTCTCAACACCACTTATTGAAAAGACTATTCTTTTCCCAATGAGTGATCGTCTCACCCTGTACAAGGTGGACCATGGGTATATTATGGGTCCCTCTTTCCTTCTTGACATTGGTAATTTGTGTCTTTTCTCATATTTTATTGATCCAAAATAGAAAGTTATCCCTTTTATTGAATGTTTTATTATTAAACTAGCTGCTGGTTTCACTGGATTTGTCTGTTTTCCATTTTATTGATTTCTGCTCAAAACTTTATTTTTGTCCTACTCACAGTGAATTTATAAGCTCCTCTTTTTCTAGTTTCCTAACTCATGTAATTTTAGGCCATCAATTTAGACCTTTATTCTTTTTAATATAAGCATATAAAACTAAATCTCTTTCTAAGCACTGTTTTAGCTGCGTCCTATAAATTGTGACTTGTGTTTTCATTTTCATTCAATTAAAATATTTAAAAGTTTTGTTGTGATTTCTTCTTTGACCCATGGATTGTTTAGAAGTGAGTTAACTTCCAAATATATGGAGCTCTTTTATGTGTCTTATATTTGTTGATTTCTAATTTAATTCTGTTGTGGTCAGATAATAGAAGCTGTAGGATTGTATTCTTCCAAAATCTGTTTAAGCTTGTTTTATGGTCCACCCTATATTCTGTCTTCATGAACATTCCATGTGCATTTAGAAAAAAATGTGTAATCTGCCGTTTGGGGGGATAGTGCTCCATGTATATCAATTAAGTTAAGGTGGTTGGTAGTGTCACTCGGATCTGCTCCCTACCGCTGTTTTGTCTGTTGTTCAAGCAGTTATGAGAGCTGTGTGTTAAAATCTTCAGGCGTGATTGTGGGTTTGGTTTTTATTCTCCCTTTAGTTTTGTCAGTTTTTGCTGCATGGGTTCTGAAGTTCTATCAGGTAAAATTTAGAATTTTACATCTACCTGCTGTGCTGATCCTTTCATTATTCTGTCTCCTTCTGCCTCTAATACTCCTTGTCTTGGTATCTGTTCTGTCTGATTTTAATATAGATACACAGCATACTCTTACTGTTGGCATGGTGTATCTCTTTCTATCCTTTGACTTTCAACTGACTTATAGCTTTATATTTAAAGCGCTTCTCTTTGAGACAGCATGTAGTCGGTTCTTGCTGGGGTGCCAGAGCATTTTTCTGGTCCCCACTCTATCCTCAGCTTGCAGCCTTCCCTGGGTTCTTATACCTGAGGGGTTTATCTCCACACTCTTTTTCCTTTCCCATCAATAGACTGTTTTTGCTTGTTACTTAGTACTGGCTAGTATGGTGGTAACTGGGCCAAAGAGAGGGTCCAACCCCAGTCTTAAGTAGGCCCCAGGTCTCTGTATCTCAAGAATGGGCCTTTCTCAGTAATCCCACCCCTCTCTTAGCGGTAGAAGACCTCTAATGGTAGTGGGCCCCAGTGGTTTCCTGCCCCTACCCCAGGAATAGTAGGTTTTAATATTTTCCCTCTCTACCCCACCCCCCAAGCAGGGCTTTGGGCCTAACAGACTTTGCTGACCTTCTCAGCAGCTTAAGCCTTTTGTTCACTAGTTGTCATGCTTCATACGTCTCTGTCCTTTACATCACTCCTCCCCACCCATATCTCCTCCATTACCAAGTCTTGTCAAATTTAGGTCTTCATATTTCTAAAAATTCACCTAATGGCTTCTCCAAGGACCCAAACCTTTAACTAGTTTCCATTTGGCCCATATTTGCATCATCGGCCTCATTTTGCAAGAAGCACCCCTTTCCCCTGCTTTAGTCACGCTGCCTTCTTTAAATCCCTCCAAAAGGCTTTCCTCCTCCTTGCTGTTAGGAACTCTCATACATTTTTCTCTGCATGGAACACATCCTCTCTGCCTTAATTAGAGTAAGTAAAACTAGCTGCTGCAACAAACTTTAAAATCTCAATGACTTAACACAATAAACGTTTATGTCTTGCTTTTACAAAATTCACTGTGGATATTCCTGGTTGGCTGATGATCATTCAGAGACCAGGTCCCTTCTGGCCCTGGCTCTGGTGCCCCATAGGGCCTTAAGAGTACTTTATTGGATCCTAGGCATCTGGTGGATAAGTGGTTGAAAGATGTAGAGGATCATGCAGGAGGTTTTGAACATGCTATGCCTGGAACTGGCATTATCATTTCCACTGAGATTGCATTGGCTAGGATGGAGTCACATGACCACATCTGGCTGCCTGCAAGGCAAGAAGATGCACAGTCTAGCTGTGTGCCCAGAAAGTAGAGGAAATGATTTTTATTAATACAGAGATTTCTCTGCCACATACTCTGTCCCCCACTGCATTCACTAATTACCTTCTACCCACCCTTCAGATCTCAGGAACGCCTTATCTCCCTCCCTAGTCACTAGGTCAATTTACCCTAGTACTTCATCTGCTTCTCTTTTATGGCACTAATCATAGTTGTAAATCTACTCTCCTTTATGTTACTGTTTCTTCCATGCTTGTTTCCCACTAGGCAGTGCCCCGTGAGGACAAGAGGTATATCTGTTTTACTCATTCCAACCCAATGCTTGGCACATGTAGGCATCCAGTAACTATTTGACTGAACGAACAGAAATGAAAGACAACGACTAGGTTAACTGCCCATTGGGCATGTAGTGCTACCCAGTGAAGCTGCAGAGGAAGCTAAACTGAGGTGCCTTCCTCCTTCCAGCCCTCAGACTTTAGTGCCTTCTATGGGTCCCAAATCTGACCCAACAGCTTTCAGTGTATCCAGGCATCTGAAAGGTCATGGCCCCACTCCTGGCCCCTGTGGTACTGATGGCTCTGATACTGTTCTATTGCTAATAGACTCCTCCCTAAGGCTGTCTCCAGATGTTCCAGCAACTCTGCTCAACAAGGACTGTGTATTTTTTGCCCTTCAGAGTTGGCCTTACAGGGATGGAGTGGCCTCTGGGCCCCAGACAGCCATGAGGTCTCCCTTACTATGGGCTCTGCTCATCCCTTAGATGGATGGGTTCCCCTGACTTCCAGTCCCCTGTCCCTCCCCAGATTAGTGCCCAGGACAGGCCTCAGTGAAAGAGACCATCAGGAATGCGGCTGACAGACTAATAGCATGTGTAGAGATTGTACTGAGGAAGGCGAGTGTCAAATTGTATCCTGAAGTCAAATTCAATGCCCTGCCTACCTTCCAGACTCCTTGCAAGACAAGTGCTACATGTATTTGTTATTATTTTGTTACCAACATCCTCAATACTTGGTCTAGGCTATATAACCAGTATGGAGAAAGGAGAAAAACTCTTAATTTTCAACCATGAAACAGTGATGGTGGAATTTTGGACAGAAGGGGCAAGGTGCTCTGGGTGTGAGCAGATGAAATTGCAGGGATCAGAGGCTGCCCAGCATGAGTACTGTCCACAGCAGCATCACTCCCCCAGCCCCATCCCAGTTCTAGCAAGCATGTAGCCCTGCAGTGTAGGCCTGGAGGCACTTGGCAAAGGTGAGGGGCCGCGTCAACCTGATGCTTTCTCCTGCATGCCTCACAGATTGTGAAGGAAGATGCCATCCTGCCAGTAGCTCTCTTCCCATCTCTCTGTGAGCTCGTCTTTCATAACAACCCTCTGGTGACCCACAGACGAGGTATGGTGCCTACAAAGCTGCCCACCAACCTAGTTCCCAGGAAGCATTGTGGGCACCTTCATCCCTATCTCATTGATGCCAAGCCCTGGGCTCTACTGTCCACTGTGGGTGGACAGGGGGGATGGAGAAAACAATGGACACTACTGAGCACCTGCTCTACACCCACTCATCCTGACAGCAACCCTGTGAGGCAGGCATTACTGTCCCTGTGCACAGTGGAGGAAACTGAGAATCAGAGAGGTTCAAGATCACACAGCATGAAAGAGGCATAGCTGGGACTGGAATACAGAATTATCTAGATCCAGCATGAGCTACTTAAGTGACACCCTGCTTTACGGAACAGGTCTGTTGTGACCTCATTTACCAGTGGGGAAGGGTACAGGTGCAGGGCTGTCCCCTCCCAGAGCCTGCTGAATGCAGTAGGTACAGTGTTAGCAGTGCAATCCACTGTCCAAGATGAGGTAGCTGAAGGCATTTTAGAATCCTGGGCCCTGGAGTGACAACAGTGGGGTTCTAATCCTTGCCCCACACTATCTTTGTTGCCTTGGGTAGGTTCCTTAACCTCTCTATGCCTCAGTTGCCTCACCTGTCAAATGGAAATAATATGGGTACCTGCCTCCTAGGGTTGGTGTGAGAATTAAGTAAGTTAATACATGTACAGCGATTTGAACAGTGCCTAGCACATAGTAAGCCCCCAGTAACTGTTAGTTAACTGTAATCTTATTTTTTCCCATCATGGATCCAGGGGTCCCTCCACTGCTAAAAAGTTTCCTCCAGGAGCGGCTGGGGGTCCACTTAATTCGAAGGAAGATAGTGAAGGCTAAACATCATATTTTGATACCTCGAAAGGCCTCACGGAAGGTAAGCCTTCCAAGGTGGGACCCCCAGTCCCAGAGGGAGTGGATCCCATGTCAATGCACATGGACTAACCTGGCAATAGAGCTACACTCTCCCACAATGCCTGGAATCCCTCTATCAGGTCTGAAGTAGTGGTAGTGTCTTCTCCTTTTCTTGCTCTGTTAATATAGATAAACCCAGAAGGGATGAGATGGTCAGAGAGACCCAAAAGGCAGAGTCAGGAGGAGCCTTGCAGGTCATTGAGTCTGACCCCTAATTTTACAGAGAAACTGAGGCCCAGAGAAGGAGCTGTGAAGATGTGGGGAGAATCAGAAGACCCAGGTATGAGCCTGGCCCCATCACTTTCCATAGCTGTCTGAACTTGGGCAAGAGTTTCACTCTCTGAGCTTCAGCTTCTCAACTCTAAAACCTCCCAGAGCTTCTGAGAGGACTGGATGAAGCAACAGATACAAAAATACACGATAAACTCCCAAACCCATACCAGTGCAAGTTATAGTCACCTGTGGCAACCATGAAGGCTGTGCCAGGCCTGGGATGCACATCCCCTGCCTGGATGTTAAGAAGCATTTCCTTATGTTGCAAGCAGCCAGCTCCCTCTGTACCTTCCCCACCCAGTGTTCTTAGACTTGCCTTCTGGGATTCCATAAAGTAAGTTAAATCCCTCTTTCATCTGATGGATTTCAGAAATTTCTGTGAAATGCTCCTCCCTCTTGAACGTTAGTCTTCCTGTAGCCGAAAGCTGGACTGGGCATTGCTGGTACCAAGAGTTAAGTACAGTTTTACCATTGCCACTGCTCCACAGCCTGCCTCTGTCCAGCCAAGCTCTTTCTTGTCTGGAGCCCTCATAGGACCAGAGTAGCATTTAAAACCAAAAAAAGACAGAAATTCAAAGGGTTTCCATCATCTTCCAATTGTCTGTTGCCTCCTCTGAGGATCCTACTACTTCCTTTCCAGTCAGCAGCTGGGGACGGGCAGAATCAGAGTAAGCCGGATGCTAACTACATAATCCTCTCTCCCATGTACAGAGCACCCATGCCAGTACTCTGCTGAGCACTTGCACACGTGCTATCCCTTAATCCTCACAACGGACAAGGAGCAGGCCCAGAGAAGTGAAATAATGTGTTTGTTAAAAGTTTGTGTTCAGGTCCAGAGGAGCCTCTAAGGTTCCAGCTGATAGAAGATAAACACAAATCCAGTGGCCAAATCAATGCTTTGTAAAACTAGGCAACATCATCTAACCTCCAATGCAGACTAGACTGGAGAATGTGGCTAGGCCTTTAGCTGGATTGGAGATGCCTCTATGTCCCTATGTGCTCACAGAGAAGGGCTGATGTTCACAGCAGACTCTGGGCCTTTTCCTCAATCAGTTACAAGGACAAGAGCTGCCAGAGCTCCCTCAGGCCTAGGCATGGACAGAACTGGGGGAAATGGAGAACCTGCCGAGCAGGCCCAGATCCACCCAACATGTAACCAAGAAGTTGTGTGAGCCCTTGGCATGTGAGAACACAAATGGAAGATAAAACAGCTTGCCCTTGATGCTGACCAACCCAGCTCACCAGGGACATCGGGCCCAGTGACTGTCAACCTCTGACCAATTAGGTTATCCCATCTTTCCTCCAGAGGGAGCTGGGAAAGTGGTGGAGGGGTAAACAAAGGGCGTGCCTCCCCCCAGGCCCACCCCGGGACTCCAGGACAAACCTGTGGGAGACAGGAATAACTGCTGCCCCTTCCCCACCAGCAGCAAATGATAGCTCTTGATATGTTGGACACTGAAGCACGGATTCTGGAAAAAGACCCTGGGTCCTTAGGCTTCAAGCCTAAACACTCAAGTTTTACATATTTTCAAAAAGGAAATATTGTTTATAAAACAGCTATCCTTCACACCTTTTAGTTTGTTAGGTACCTTTGCATACATCGTCTCAGTATACAGACTCTGCAGTATAGGCAGGGCAGGGGCTAGTCTCCCATTTCACCAGGAGGAGATGGAAGCTCAAAGGATAGAGCTGCATTCCAGCCCATATTTTTCTAAAAACAGTGGTTAGGATCTTTCCACTACACTACGTTGTCTGTCAAATTATAGATATAAGTGGACCAAATACCTTTGACTTAAGAATAAAGTCAATCCCCCATGTAACTTGGGAGGGGAGGAAGAACTAAGCCCTGTTGGGGGAAACTGAGCACATGACTCCCTCTTGGTAACTGAGGCAAAGGAGGAGGGAGGAAAGATGACAGGCTTTTGCTAATTAAGGAAGCTGAGCAGTTCAATAGGAAAGAAGTTATTTCCTTGATCCTGAACCCTAAGAGAGATTTACCTTATGAATCTTTATATAAGGTGCAGGGACCAGCATCCTGAACGGGCCTGGTGCTGCTGACTTCCAGAAATTGCAGGACCATCTCCCCCATGCCTTCCTAGGAGTCTCTGAGGGTAGTCAAGGGAACTGTGTTAAACCTTGAACACAGGATAAGGCTACTAAAGGCTGCAGTGTTATGATCAGGGGTTTAGAATGACATCTGGAGCCCAGGACAGGAATTAGATAGTCCGGCTCTGTGACGTTGGACAAGTCATTTTACTCCTCTGGGCCCATTTCCTCATCTATAAAACGAGGATAATTATTCACTGGGTAGTTTTGTGGTATAATTAAAATGATGTATGTCATGCATACATTGTAGGTGCCCAGTAAGTGTGATTTTGCTCCCTCCCTCTCCCTAGGAGCCCTCACCCAGTGCTCTGATCACTGTACCAAGTGGCCTTAGGCTGGTGAGGTCCAGGAGGAGAGATTCCAATTAGGAAGCAAACCAATACAGCCCTTCTCCCATGACAGGTGAAAACCCAAGTGCCAAAGGTGCCAAAGCAGCCTCTGATGTTCCCTCATCTACCTGAGATCACAGTGGAGCCTCCCTCAGAGGAGGTGGTGGAGTCACAGCAGTCTGAAGTGCTGCCATCTACTCTGAAGACAGCGAAGCCCATTGAGGGCCTGAAGGGCATTTCCACGTGCCGCCGGCCCTTCGTGCCACTTCCTCCCATCTGCTCTGACTCTACTGTGCATACTGAAGAGACCACCTCTCACCCGAGCGACACTGCTGGCCAAGTCAGCCCAGATCACCTATCAGATGAGGACACCAAGAGCACAGAGTCCATCTTCTTGACGCAGGTGCCTGGATCCACCTGCCCCTGCCCATTTGTTCCCGGCTCCCACAGGTTCCTGCACAGCCCTTAGATGGCTGGACTGCTATAGGCAGCTGGAAGCAAGCACATGGTGGGTCTGGAAACCAGAAGGCAGCACCCTGGCAGGGCCTGCAAGTCCCTTCTAGGAGATCCATAGATCTATGGTTACTAGTAGGGACAGCTATAGGGACAAGTCATGGTACTGTGACAGAGACCACACCTGGGCTAGGGTGTGGTTCTGACCAGTTTTTAGGAAGGGTTGCTGCTGCCTCTGCCTATCTGCATGTCACCTCACTTCTGATGCTGCCTCTGAATCCTGGGAGTACAAATGGATGAGACATGGTCTTACCCTTGAGAAGTCCTTAGTCTTAATGGGGGAAATGAACAGGAACGATGCACACAGTCAGTGCTGAGAGTGAGAAACCGAGGAGCTGGAAGCCTAGAGGAAGAGGGGATGCCTCTGCCCCAGACCAGAAGGGCAGGCTTCCTGGAAGAGTTTCAAATGAGATGAGCTTTGCAGGCTGAGTAGGCATTAACATGGTGAGGACATAGGCAGCAAGGGCATTCTGGACAGAGCAACAGCATGAAGCAGGATACAGAGGAAGGAAATTAAAATGGTATGTACAGGAACCACGAATGGTTCAGTGGCGGTGCAACAGAAGGGTGACATGTAGGAAAAGGGAAATAAAAGGCTGGAGGAGTTGGCAGGGCCATTAAACTTTTTCTTGTACCATTGCCCTCCCTGATCTCCCCGTCTTCAGTCTTGCCCTTCCAATCTGCCAGATCTTTCCAAGACGTACATCCGTCCATCTTTAGATTCCACATATAAGGAAATCATATGGTGTTTGTCTTTCTCTGACTGACTTATTTCACACAGCATAATACCCTCTAGATTCATCAATGCTGTTGCAAATGGTAAGATTTCACTCTATTTTATGATCAAGTCGTATTGCATTACATATGTGCTACTTTTTTATCCTCTTGCCTATTGATGGGCACTTGCGCTGCTTCCGTATCTTGGCTATTGTAAATACTGCAATGAACTAAGGGGTGCATATATTCTTTCAAATTAGTGTTTTGGGTTTCTTCAGCTGTATACCCAGAAGTGGAGTGGCTGAGCCATTTTTAATTTTTTGAGGAACCTCCATACTGTTTTCCATAGTGGTTGCACCAGTCTGCATTCCCACCAATAGTACACAAGGGTTCCCTTTTCTCCACATCCTTGCCAACATTTGTCATTTGTTGATTTATTGACAGTAGCCATTCTGACAGGTATGAGGTGATATCTGATTGTGGTTTCTGTTTGCATTTCTTTGATGATTAATCACATTGTGCATCTTTTCATGTCTATTGCCCATCTGTACATCTTCCTTGGAGAAGTGTCTGTTCAGGTCCTCTGCCCATTTTTTAATTGGATTGATTTTTGGTGTTGAGTTGTATGAGTTCTTTAGAAATTTGGGGTATTAACCCTTATCAGATGTATCATTGGCAAATAGGTTCTCCCAGTAAGTAGGCTGACTTTTGTTTTGTTGAAAACAAAACAAAAACTTTGCTGTGCAAAAACTTTTTAGTTTGATGTAGTCCCATTTGTTAATTTTGTTGTTTCTCTGGCCTCAAGGAGATATATCACAAAAAATATCACTAAGAGAGATGTCAGAGATTTTACTGTCTATATTTTCTTCTAGGAGTTTTATGGTTTTGAGTCTTACATTTAAGTCTAATCCATTTTGAGTTTATTCTTGTGTACGCATAAGAAGGTGGTTTCATTTAAATTTTTTTGTATGCATCAAATTTTCCCAGCACCATTTATCTATTATTCATTTATTTTTATTTTTAATCCTCACCTGAGAATACTTCCTCCACTGCTTTCCAGAGAGAGTAGGAGAGAGAGAGAAACATCAATGCGAGAGAGACACATCGATCAGTTGCCTCCCAAACATGCCCCAACCGGGGCCAGGGATCTAGCCTGCAACCGAGGCATGTGCCCTTGGCTGGAATCAAATCCAGGACCCTTCAGTCTGTGGGCCAACGCTCCAACCACTGAGTCAAACTAGGTAGAGCCCCAGTACCATTTACTGACTAGACCATTTTTACCACATTATATGTTCTTGCCTCTTTTGTGAAATATTAATTGATCATATAGTGTGGGTTTATTTCTGTTCCATTGATCTATATATGTTTTTATGCCAGTACCATGCTGTTTTGATTACTATGGCCTTGTAGTGTAGTTTGATATCAGGTAGCTTGATACCTACAACTTTGTTCCTTCTCAGTATTGCTGAGGCTATTCTGGTGTTTTTGTGGTTCCACATAAAGTTTTGGATTATTTGTTCTAGTTCTATGAAAAACGCCATTGGTATTTTGATAGGAATTGTGTTGAAATCTATAGATTGCTTTGGGTAGTGTGGGCATTTTAATGACGTTAATTCTTCCTGTCAATGAACACAGCATATGCTTTCATATATTTGTATTTTCTTCAATAATTTTCTTCAGTATCTTCATATTTTCCAAGTACAGGTCTTTTACCTCCTTGGTTAAATTTGTTCCTACATATTTTTTTGAAACAATTATAAGTGGGATTTTCTTTTTCTTTTTTAAATATATCTTTATTGATTTCAGAGAGAGGAAGGGAGAGGGAGATAGAAACATTAGTGTTGAGAGAGTCATTGATCGGCTGCCTCCTGCATGCCCCCTACTGGGGATCGAGCCTGCAACCCAGGCATGTGCCCTGACTAGGAATCAAACCTTGATCTCCTGGATCCTACGTCGATGCTCAACCATTGAGCCACGCCAGCTGGGCTGGGATTGTTTTCTTAGTTTCCCTTTCTGATAGTTCATTATTGGTGTATAAAAATGCAACTGATTTATGAATATTAATTTTTATTCTGCTACTTTACTGAATTCATTTATCAGTTCCAGTAATTTTTTTGGTAAGTCCTTCACGTTCTCTATATACTGTAGCTTCTCATCTGCAAATAATGACAGTTTTACTTCTTCCTTTCCAAACTGGATGTCTTTCATTTCTTCTTCTTGCTGTGGCTAGGACTTCCAGACTATGTTGAATAAGAGTGGTGAAAGCAGATGTCTGTCTTGTTTCCAATCTTAAGGGAAACATTTTTAGTTTTTCCTGAGTAATGATGTTGGCTGTGGGTCTGTCATATATGGCCTTTATTATATTGAGGTATGTTTCCTCTGTTCCCTCTTTGCTAAGAATTTTTATCACAAATGGATGCTAGATTTTGTCAAATGCTTTTTCTGCATCTTGATATTATCATGTGATTTTTATCTTTCATTTTATTTATGTAGTGTATCACATTCATTGATTTGCAGATATTGTACCAGTCTTGCATCCCAGGAATAAATCCTACTTGATCATGGTGTATGACCTTTTAAACGTATTGCTGGCTTTGGTTTGTTAATATTTTGTTGATTTTTGCACTGTGTTTTCAGAGATATCGACATATAATTTTCTTTCTGTAGTGTCTTTATCTGGTTTTGGAATTAAGACAATGCTGGCCTTGTAAATTGAAATTAGGAGTTTTCCCTCCTCTTGAATTTTTTTGGAATAGTTTAAATAGGATAGGTGTTAGTTCTTCTTTCAATGTTTGGTAAAATTCACCTATGAAGCCAACTGGTCCAGGACTTTTGTTTGCTGGGAGTTTTTTGGTTTTTTAAAATTTATCTTTATTGTTGAAAGTATTACAGATGTCTTTCCCTCCTGCCCCAGTGACCCCCTCCCCCTACTCCTGCTCCCTCCCCAGGCCTTCACCGCTTGCTGGGAGTTTTTTGATGACTGCTTCAATTTCATTCATTGTAATTGGCCTGTTCAGATTTTCTGTTTCTTCCTGATTCAGTTTTTGGAAGATTATATGTTTCTAGGAATTTGTCCATTTCTTCCAGATTGCCCAATTTGTTGGCATATAGTTGTTTGTAATATTTTCTTATAATCCTTTGTATTTCTGTGGCGTCAGTTGTTACTTCTCCTCTTTTGTTTCTGATTTTTTTTCATTTGGGTCCTCTTTTTCTTGGTTAAAGGTTTGTCAATCTTATTTATCTTTTCAAAGAAATAGCTCTTGGTTTCAGTGAGACAAACTTTTGATTTCTTTCTTGATCTTATTGTTAATTATTCATTGTTTAGTAACATGTTATTTAGCCACCATGTGTTAATTTGTTTTTTGGTGGTTTTTTCATTGTAATTGATATTTTGTTTTATACTATTGTGATCAGAGAAGATGCTTGATATGATTTCAGTCTTCTTAAATTTACTGAGACTTGTTTTGTGTCCTAACCTGTGGTCTATCCTAGAAAATGATCCATGTGCACTTGAAAAGAATGTATATTCTGTTACTTTGGTGTGAAATGTTCTGAAAATAGAGTGGGAGAAAAGTAGGTTTACAGTTGTGAATACATAGGACAAAGTTTATTCTTGTATTATTTTCCCTATGAACAACTGTAAACCTACTTTTGCCACACCCTGTGTCAATTAAATCCATCTGGTCTAGTGTGTCAGTCAAGGCTGCTGTTTCCTTGTTGATATTTTTTGTCTGGAAGATCTATTTATTAGTGTCAATGGGGTGCTAAAATCCCCTACATGACTGTATTACTGTTGCTCTCTCCCTTTATGTTCATCAAGATTTGCTTTATACTTAGGTGCTTCTATGTTGGGTGCAAAAATGTTTGCAAGGGTTATATCCTCTTCTTGGGTTGATCCCTTTATCATTATGTAATGTCCTTCTTTGTCTCCTATTATAGCCTTTGTTTTATTTTATTTTTACTTTTTTTAATCCTCACCCGAGGATATTTTTTCCATTGCTTTTTAGAGAGACAGTGGAAGGAGAGAGACAGAGACAGACACATGGACTGGTTGCCTCCCACACTCATCCCGAGTAGCACTGGGGATCAAACCTGCAACCAAGATACATGTTCTTGGCAGGAATCAAACCCGGGACCCTTCAGTCAGCAGGCCTACGCTCTAACTACTGAGTCAAACCGGCCAAGACTATATAGCCTTTGTTTTAAAGTCTATTTTGTCTGATATAAGTATTGCTACCCAAGTTTTTTTTTCATTTCCATGAAATTATATATATATATATATATATATGTTTTAATTTACCTTTATTGTTGAAAGTATTACAGATGTCCCCATTTTCCCATTGATCCCCTCCACACTGCACCAGCCCCCAGGCCCTCACACTTTACTTTCAGTCTGTATCTTTTGTTCTGAGGTTGATCCCTTGTAAACAGCATATACACAGGTCTTGTTTTCTTATTGATTCAGCTACTCTATGTCTTTTCATTGGAGCATTTAAGTCATTTACATTTAAAGTGATTATTGATATATATTTATTGCCATTTTATTTTTTATAAGTGTCTTTTTTTTTTTTTTTTCTTTCTTAAAGAAGACCCTTTGACAATTCTTGTAATACTGGTTTGGTGGTAATGAACTCTCCTTTAGCTTTTTCTTGTCTGGGCAGCTCTTTATTTCACCTTCAATTTTAAGTGATAGCCTTGCAGGGTAGTCTTGGTTGTAGGTCCTTGTTTACATCATTTTGAGTAGATCATGCCAATTTCTACTGGCCTAAAATGTTCCTGTTGAAAAATCAGGTGACAGTCTTATGGGAGCTCCCTTGTAGGTAACTAGCTATCTTTCTCTTGCTGCTTTTAAGTTTCTCTCTTTACCCTTTTGCATTTTAATTATGATGTGTCTTGGTACGGGACTCTTTGGGTTCATCTTGTTTGGGGCTCTGTGCTTCCCGGACATGTGTATCTTTTTCCTTTACCAGGTTAGGGAAATGTTCAGTCATTATTTCTTCACATAGGTTCTCGATTCCTTGTTCTCTTTCTTCTCCTTCGGGAACCCCTATGATACAGATGTTGTTATGGGACATATCATCCCAGAGGTCCCTTAGACTATCCTCACTTTTTAAAATTCTTTTTTCTTTTTGCTGCTCTGATTGGGTGTCTTCTGCTACCTTATCCATTCTTCTTTAAATGTTTGGTAGAATTCACTACCGAAGCCATCTGGTCCTTGGTTTTTCTTTGTGGGAAGTTTTAAAATTACTAATGCAATCTCGTTATAGGTTTATTCAGATTTTCTATTTCTTTTTAGTCAGCCATAAGCTTTAATAATAGGTATACCTACATTCCCTACACAAAATACAGGTTTCATGAAGTTGTTTCTTATAAAACGAATTGAGGTAGGCTTAAAATGTGATTCAGTGTTCACTCACTCCCTTAAAACTCCTTGCCGTCCATCACAGTGAGGATAAAAAATTATAGACAAAACAAACACCCTCAGTTTGGCATTTAAAGGTCCTTCCTGATCTGGTCCCTGATTATTGCTCCAGCAGCCTCTTTATGGTACACTCCAACTATGAATATTAAGTTCCCCTAATGCACCTTGCTGTCTTACCTGTGCACCTTGCTATAATAGTATCATGCTATTCCTTCCTTGCAACAATCCTCCTTTCTCATCTCTTGTAGCCCACACCTCTCCCCACCCCTGCCTGGGAATGGCTCTCCTGGTTCTTCAAGACTTAGTTTGGGCTAAGGCATCACTTCCTCCAGGAAGCTTCTTGTCACCCCAGGCTGGGTTAGGGCTTCTTGTGGGCTCACCTGGAAACCCTGTGCTCCCCTCAGTTACAGCATTTATCAGGGTATATGGCCATTGTCCATTTTCATGTTTGTCTCCTATCGCTCAAGTCTTGGTTCTTGCCATTAACAGGGCCCAGCATGGGGACCCACACAGAGCTGATGATAAGAAGTGTTAGTGGAATGAATATGTTTTTATTCCTGGGCACAGGTGAGTGGGATGTCTTACTCCAACCTCGAGAGGGATGACTCAGAGGTGGAAAAAGACCAAAGACCAGCACCCAGAGAGGTGAAGAAGACTAGGAGGAAGCTTCAATCTGCCTCACTATCCAGCAAGTACCATGGCTATAAGGAGTTGCTGACAGCCAAGACTGATCCAGCCTTCATTGAGCCAAAGGGTATGTGAAGAGAATGCCAGGTCAAGTCAGTGCAAAGCCAAGGCCAGTGCAAGATCCTTTTCCAGACCAGTGTGCTATCTTCTATCTGAATGCCTGTCAAAGGGCCCCTGAGGGTGTCTTGATTTGGAGCCCTACATGTCAGGACCCCTGGCCTGGGCCTTAAATGGCTTTGGGGAGCCACAGCTATTCCAAGATTCCAGCCAGTCTGGACCCAGCTACAGTTGGAAAAGTCTCTCCAGGAAGGATTTGCTGAACAAACCACCAGACTGGCCAGATTCCCAGTTAAGCCCCAAATTAAACATCCAGAATCCTCCCTATGTGGTTTGAGGCAAGGGAAGCAGTGCCCTCTCTGAACCCATTTCAGACTGATGTATTAATAATATTGGCACTTTCAAAGGAAGTGGCACTTAGCTGTGCTCTCTTGGGTGTCAGTCCCTGCAGTGTAACCCCCTTTAGGTTAACAGAGTTACATTGGAGTCAGTCTTTTTCCCCACTCCAATGCTATTTTCCCATTGGGATCTTTGCTCATAGGGGACTGGCACTCACCAAATGAATGATGGGACTTCTGACACTGCAAAATACCAGGGAGAGATATGGGGCTTCTCATCCTTCTACCCAGGGCTGCTATTCTATGGGGAATAAAGAAATTGGGGAGGCATTTAGGAGGAGGGGGAAGTGCCTGGACTCCACCTTGCCTTCCTGCCCTAGGAATCCAGAAGAATGCAAAGGCCCTGCAGCACATGCTGAAGCACCCACTCCTATACTCCTCCTCCAGGCCCAAGCTGGACACTCTTCAGAAACCCTATGTTCCCAAGGAAAAACGGGTAAACCTGCATGTCACTGAGTATACAGATACCCCCCCCTCAAGGCCTCCACAAGGACAGAGGTAGCTGTCACTTCCAGGCCTTCTAAGGGTCATGCTTTCCCAGAGCCCCCAATTGCTTCCCTGCCTATGGCTGTGACTGTATGAGGAGGTGAGGCCTACGACTGGGATAATACCCTCCTCTCTTACCTTGTCAGGCCCAGAGGATCCCTGTCCCACCCCCACGAAAGACTCGAGCCCAGCTGCTGGATGACGTCCTCATTCGCATGCGGGACTCCTGGAACATTACAGAGGCTCCACTAGGTATGGCTCTGGCCCCCAGTTCTCAGCTGCCAGAACCCAAGATCTAGAAGTTTACTCATCTACTGGTATAAGGCAAAGGCTTGTTTCAGGCAGGAAGGGCCCTTAGGAACATCTGCCCCAGCCCTTCCCATGTGCAGATGGAAAAATTGAGGCCTGAGTGAGGCAGGGAGTTGCCTAAAATCACACAGCATGTTATAGACTAGAACTAAGGCTTGAGATAGAATCAGGAGGGGACATCACTGGCTTCCTAATGCCCCAAATGGAGAGGCTATTTTCAGTTAGTTTCCTGAACACCCTTCTCTCACCCTATCCCACTTTCTGGGAACTCTGGATCCAGCCCCCACTGCCTTCAGCTAGGCGAGACCCAGAGCAAGCCTGCTGCCCCTCCTGGCTTCTCCCCCTGCAGGAGCTGTCTTGCGCCAGAGGACAGAGCAGCGGCTAGTGAACCAGAAGCAGTACCTGGAGGCCAAGCGGCTGCTGAAGGAATTTCAGGCACGCTACCGGGAGCTGGTGCGTTGCTCCCTGCAGACGGTGTTTAGGGCCGCAGTGCCACCCTCAGCCCAGCCGGCCCTGAGCGAGGGCCAGCCTAAATTCGGCCGCTTCCTCCAGTTCGTGGATGAGTTCTGCCCAGAACCCACAGCCAGTGACTCAAAAGGCTAGAGCTGCATACAGGGCCATGTGCGCCACCGGGCCTGCACCCCACGCCCTCCCTGAGGGCTCCACACCCTCCATGGAGCTGGAGCCTTAGGACTGGCTCTGGGGGGCTTCAGCCTCAGAGCTCAGCTCAGCCTTTCCGGCTGGCTGCAGAGTGGGGAGCTCATCAGGACCTCCCGTCCCAGGCCCGGCAGGATCCGGCGCCTGGCCCAGCAGCAAATAAAGAGTGGGTGCACAGAACAGGGTAGACCACGTTCTTTCTTGGAGCCTGTGCCGGGCTGTCACACTGGGAAAAAATCCTGGCTTGATGCATATCCCTAGAGTCCAGTGGGAAACCTGCCTGAGTCACATGCATCCAACAGAGCTGCGTTGACCACTAGGATAGAAAATGGAGTTGATAGCATAGTCAAGTAGCACAGAATCTAAGGCTCAGAGAAGTTAACTCACCCACAGCCAATAAAGTGTGTGCTTGGGGGGCATGAGGTGGGGGCAAAATTGAGGCCAAAAAGCACCAGAAATGGTGCCTTTTCTGTTGGGCAGTTTTTTCTACTGTGAGGGCAAATGTGGGGAAGGAAGGGAGGATTGGGAATTCCCTTATCAGATAGCCATGGCCACAAAATTGGGACAAGCTGAGGAGAGGTCTTACATGGAGTTTCCCAAGGTATTCTAATCCAGGACACAAACTGAAATCCCATATGTAAGCATGATGGGCTGCAGCTCTAAAACAGACCCTGGGCTCATGTAAGTAAACTAGTTCTGGCCAAGGCAGCCTATGGGGTTGTCCCATTCTTGTGAGTGCCCAGTAGCCAGCACCTGCTACAGAGGAGGATCTGGAGAAAGCCACTGGGGCTGAATTCCAGCGATGTGCATTTGGGGATAGATGCTGGGTATGATAGTCACCTGGACCCTTATTCATAATGCTACTCTCCTGGAGGTGCCTACAATTCAGACCTGGAGAGCAGGCCTGCAGTTCCCAGGGTCCAGGAAGCAGTGGCATGAGAATTAAGGATCCTCGGTAAGACACCAACTTCCACAACCTAAGTTGTCATTATGGTGATTATAGAAATATAGTCTTATAGCCACAGCTCTGACAGGAGCACAGAGTATATGCTGTATTTCAAATGTGAGATTCTATTAGCACACAGAATATTTGCATCCTGTCATACTTAACCCATCTTATACATGTGGCCAGTTAAATATTTGCCATACCAGACACATTCTCATTCATAGTCATATACACATGTCAAGTTACAAAGTCAGTCATATCTAATTCACACAGGCAATACAGCGAATACAGTGTCACCCACAGCAGCAGTCCTGTGTGGGAACATGTGCTGACTCACCACCTTGGATCTTCTGGGGCCCCAAACCACCCTTCCCCTAATGTCAGGAGGGAGAATCACCCCATCATTCACACTAAACCTTGCTAGGTTCCAGTTCTGGGGAATTGGACTGCTCCCTTCAGCTGGAAGCATTATCAAACCATAGGCTCTCAGGCCTGAAAGGTGCCTGGGAACATCCTATCCCAACCTCAAGGCAGGAAGCTTTTTGTAAACACAACAGATCATTTAGCTCCTGCTTACACATGTAGTGACAGGTAGCTCATTCCCTCCAAAGGCTTTCCCCTTAGTGGGGAAAGCTATAGGACATTTCTAGCCATTGGGCTAAGCTGTCTGCATAAGTCCCTCAGTTGTCTATCTATGCTTTTTGGCCTAGAGTATATGTGTTATTTCTACCCAGCTAGGTCAACCTTTCACCAATGTAAAAACATCCTAAAAAGGCTACACTTATCCAGACCAAACACTCTTAACATTCTCATTTATTCCACATAGATTGCTTCTCACAGACAGCTTGCTAAGTTTGTGGTTTTCCCCCTACTCATGATACCTAGATGCAATAGTACTCCAGCTGTGTACAAACCTGGCACACAGCAGTACTGCCTGCTCCCTTCTCTGGATAGTATATTTTTATACAGACATTTACCTTTTGCTCACTCTTAAAACCAATGGCATTGCCACTTTGGCTTTTATTAAGTCTTTATCAGCAGACTACTATTATTAGAACTGCTTCCCTTTTTTATACTTGAAATTGACTTTTGATATCTGATGCAGGATTTTTTACATTTCTTTATCTTCGTCTCAGCCTGGAGTTCCAGGCTGCCAGAATCATTCTGCATTCCTGATTATGAGCTTTGCCATCTTGGAGGCTGTTTACAGAGTGAGTGTAGAGGGCTGGCCCCTTCTCCCTCACATGTAGCCAGATCATGCCAATGTAGAACTCCCAGGAGGGAAACCACTAGGAGGCTATGCAGTGACTACTCCTCTAGGAAGAGACCTAGTAAGAACACATGGGAGCTAATGTTTCTTATTCATCCTTTCAGCCTCAGCTCAAGTATGTCCTTGAACTTTCCTTTCAAGCTGAACTGGGCTTTCCCTTTTTTTGACCTAGTATGACCTCATTGGGCATCACATTGCACTGTGCCAAATGATACCTCTGGTGCTCAGCTCAGGGCCTGCATCCAGGAAATATTCAATAAGATTTAATTTGTGGGTGAAATGAGAAAGCTCAGGCAGGCTATCTTAATGGGATTTTACACAGCTATGGCTAAGACACTCGAAGGCAGAGCTGGGCATGGTCCTACAGGCGCTGCCTTGGACTTCCCTTAAAAAACCACCATGTTCAGAGAAAACAGCACTTCAACCTGCCTGCTATTTTAAGTCCGTGTATCAGACTACTAACCCCACTCCCATGTGGTGAATTGCACCTCCTGAAGCCATACGATCGTTTCCCACTTGTGTTCGACCCTTTCCTGTCTCAGGAGTAATCCAGACTTAGTCACATTATCAGGGTTCAATTGTTATCCCCATTTGCTGTCTCCTAGGGCAGCTCATTTAACCTTACCCATAGCAGCAATGGAGTTTTCCGTCTCTGTGTGTCCTTCTGGTGTTAAAATCACTTTTTTAGGGAGGGTTCTTCACTAAGCAAATTTCAGTCCCGTGGTTCCCCGTTTTGTGCTTTTGCAGAGACATCACCTAGTCCTCAGCCCAGTGAAAAAGCCTCAAACTAGATTTGTCAAGTGAGCCGGCATTCAAGACTCAGAAGGCCTTTGGGGTGGCGACCACCCTCCCTGCTGTCAGCAGTCACACTCTGATCTACCATTAGATGCTTTACCCTCCTGGGCTGGCTCTCACCCACAGCCCCCTTCTCCATAAGCAGATGGGAAACTGGCTGCCACTCTCTTCTGAGCCTTCTCCAATCATCTATTAAGAGCAAAACAAAAGAAATAGTTTTTCCCACCAATTCTTCAAAATTAGGCCCAACTGTTTTCCAAATTACTTATCCAAGGTGCCAGTGAGCACCCTGGAGAGTCGACTGTGGCCACGAGGAAGAGAGAACTGATTTAGATGCAGACTGTGCCTCACAATACTTGCCACCTCAGGATACTTCCCACCCCTGCAGTGGGTGCAGAGGGAAAACTGATCTCGCTAGCCCTGTGAGGCCCAGTCCAGGAGGAAAGCAAACCTAGAAAGCAACTGGAAGTATACTGTTAGTCAAGGCCAGTGAAGGAGGGTGGCCCCACTCTGAGGTTCTGAGCCAGGGCAGCAGAAAAACAATCAGTGGCTTTGGAGTCAGAGGACCCAGCTTCCAGGCTATGTCAGGGTATTTCCCATCAGTGAGGGCCACCTCTTTCACAGCACTGGGCTATAAGGTAATTAATGAGTGTTGTATGTAGACAGCATTTTCTGTTACTTTAGGAGCCAAGGGACAATCAAGTTCTAGTCTCCTATCTCTAATAGCTGCATTGTTTTTTGCAAATCATTTTAATAACCTTCTTTGGAAGAGGTTGGGCCAGACGATTTCAAAGGTCCCTCAAGTACTGGTTTACCATGTATGGCACTGACTCTTATACCAGTCCTTCAAATTGGTTTTACAAGTTTAAGTGAAACAGGGATACATTTGTTCTCTGTTGGATAAGAAACTGACACCAAGGGGATTTTGATGAGTTCCTGAGCAGTGGTTCCAAAACAGGGTATTTTTAAAACTCAGATGTTCTGGCCCTGGCCAGGTGGTTCAGTTAGCTGGAGTGTCATCCCGTACACCAAAAGGTTGTGGGTTTGACTACCGGTCAGGGCACACACCTAGGTTGCAGGTTTGATCCCTGGTCAGGGCCCACATGGGAGGCAGCTGATCAATGTTTCTCTCTCACACTGATGTGTGTATGTCTCTCTCTCCCCTCTTCTCTCTCTAAAAGCAGTGAACATGTCCTCAGGTAAGGATTAAAAATAAACCAGATGTTTTGAGTACAGGCCTAATGTGCAGGGAAAATGTCATCCTATACATTTGTTCTTTATTTGGATACTTTCTTGGTACATTCATTAGAAGAATGGTTATGAGAATAACAGTTATAAACTGGAAATAACTTAGAACTCAGAAGACTTAGTTGTGCACTACGGAAACCCCATCCCACCTAACTTCTCCCATCACTCTGAATGCCAAAGCAGGACATTCCAATGTGGGGCATCTCCCAGAACAAAGGTAGCATCAAAAATTAAACACACACAGCCTAAGTTTAGCCCAGATTTGCCTGAGATTGCTCTCCAGATTTTCAACTAAAAATAGAACATTTACTTTCATAAGTTTGCTTCACTATATTCTCAACTTAGGCCTCTCCTCAAGCAGGTAAACAGCCACTGAAGAATGCACTTTGGTACTGTTTAAATAAACAACACATCATCCCATTTGATTCCATGCCATTTCCTTGTTGGCAGAAGCATCCTCGACAGGGCATGACCTGTTCTAAGTCCTCTGTCTTTGTCAAAATGTTCTTTATGAGTGTGAGAGGAGATGGCCAACAGTGGCAGTCCACAAGGATCCAGACCCCTTCACCACTTCTAATGCACACAGCAAGTTGAGTAAAACCAATATACAACCCATTTTCTATTTCTAGGTGGGAGGGAGAAAGGCCCTAAGGACAATTCTGTTTGTGTAAAAGAAGTGAGAGTAAAGAGCACATCAAGCACACACACTCAAAATTTGGCATTTATGATAACCATTTCTTTTCCTTGCACAGTTAACTGTTCTCTCCTCTGCTGGAGGCCAAGGGTTGACCCCACTGAGGCAGAACCCCTGCTCCCATTTGTGGCACAGCTTGGACGGTGGGCTGGAGAATGTGACTGCTGCCTTCAGGAGCCAGGAGGGCCCAAAAGCTACTTGAGCTATAACAGACTGATCTTTGAGGAGTCACTGCCTGTTTTTACCCCTTACTGAAGTAGAGGAAAGGAAGATGAGCACACTTGGCCTTACCTTGGCTTTGTCCAACTAGTTCTTAAGAAACCAGAAAAAGTAGAGAGGGAACCTGCTCCAAGTTTGAGGCTGTCTCCCACACTGACTGACAAGACATTAAGAAAGCATTTACTCACGAAGCAGTGTGTAAATATTTTTCTTAGGAAGAAAAAAATACTGATAATACATGGAACAATGTGCACATACAGTCTTGGCACTTTTCCTTCATCCAGTTTAACCAGTCTCTAAACTGGTGACCTCTATATATCTAGAAGTATCTTTTTCTGTAGAACAATCCTATTCAGAAAGTTACAGTGGATAATAACCATGTGTAAGGGTACATTTCTGGATCCTCTCTGGAGGAAAATCTATTCAGCAGCCTATTTCCCTAGAATCCCACTGCCCCTCAACCTCCCAAAAAGCAGACCTGCTTTCTCATTAAGTCCCAAGATTTATAAACAGCTACATTCACTTCAAAAGATCACTCTCTGGGTTGAAGGAAAAAGCTGGCTGAAAAAGATTTAAAACCCTAAGTTCTTGATTTTCAAAGAAAAATGAAGGGCTGGCTGGGTTTTAACCCTTGGTAGATAAAATGACTGTCCCAATAAAAATATATCACTTCCCAAGATTCCATATTCACATTACACTATGGGGGTTTTCCTACCTGAGTGGATATTCAGGGGGATTTTAATTCTACCTGAAAAATTCAGGAAGAAAAGCTATTAAAACAAATAGCCTCCTAAATCATTTGGTTGTCCCCCTCATTACCAAATTGTGTGTGTGTGTGTGTAACATAAAGTACTATTTATTCAGACCCTAGAAAACTATAATATAAAATAGGACACAGGGCACTGAACATCAAGTTGCTGATTTCTTAAAAAAGAAGAGGACGGTAAGGAGGCAAGTTTGCCTTGGATGATTTCCATGCCTGCCTATTCCAGCTACATAGTATTTTATGTTTATGACCCAGCCTTCAATTTTTCTTTCCTTCCTCTCCTGCTAGCCTTCCATCTCAATGAAAAGCCAGGCAGGAAAAAGGAAAGAAATCCCATGTTGCTGCCAGCCGCAGCTGGGAGGTCTGACTGGGGAAGAGGTTAGGAGGTTACTAAGTTGAGACGTGGCCTCTGAGCACATCCGTGGCCCACAGCCTGCCTCATTTCATGGGGCTTATGCTGAAAGCAGCTTCTGAAGAGATCGCATTGTCCTATAGCCACTGGAGGATAAGATTCATCCTCTTCTGGTAAAGTTGCTTAGGAAATGGAAAGCAGTGCTGCAACCACATGCACAAATACTGATGGGAGTATCTCAAATGTTCAAGGCAGCCTGCTTGGTGCTGGGAAGTATCTTGAATGGGACCATCCAAGATGCTCACTGTGAAAGAAATGGACTTTCATAAGACCATTAACAAATTCTCCAGCCACATATACATTCAAATATATTCCATTAGACATTGAGCTCCACAAGAGCAGAGACTGTACTTTCCATCTTTGTATCTCCACACAAAGTTGGCACAAGTTCCAAGTTCAGGAAATGTCTGTCAAATGGAACAAAAAGGACGAACAGCACAGCCTTCGGTCATTAGCTTCACCAGTCAAGCACAGTGGCAGCTTCCCATCCTAGTCAGTTTGTCAATTTGTAATCATACAGCAATTAATTAAGCAGCTTTAATCTCTCAAGGGCATTTTACGGAAAATGAACAAAAAACACAGTCATCACTAGCACTCCCTCCAGGCAAAAACTTTAAATTTAAAAAATAAATGAAGCCACTTACAAAGGTTTTTCCTGGGAAACCTCAGCCAAGAAGAATTAACCTTTTAAAAAGCACAATTATATGAAAGGGGCCAAGGGCTGGATACATACTCCCCTGATTTGATACCAACCCCACAGGCTCAGATGACTTCTTCCAACAGATACAATCATTAGAGTCATGAACATGTTCCCGAAGTGTCCTTTCCACTCTACAGAAAAGAAATGAGAGCCCCCTCCTCAGGGAACCACATTTCTTAGATTTCCCATCAGAATGACCTCCATCCTCCAACCTCTCATCACTTCCCCTTTAATGAGAGAAAACAAAGAATGCATATACACAAGGAACAAAGGTAGTAGGACATGGGAAATTTGTGTGGTGAATTGGAGTCCAATGATTTGTGAGAAATACATTTGCTTTATGAAACAGTGTGTGTCTCATTCTAGCTGAGAAATCCTCCCCATCATTCTGCTTTCCTACCTGGTCTTTTTCTCCAAAGAATTCATATCAACAACTTCATCTGTGACCAACTTCACAATGAACAGGAGAGGGAAAGTTTTCAGAAAGGAAAAGTGTTCAGGTTTAAGTTATTAAGTATGGGAAGCATCTTAAAATACAGATAATACCTTAGTGGTTTTTGCCTCCTCCAAAGCCAAGCAGATTAAAAATTAAGCCTTATCCCTCCTTAACCTAAACAGCTTTGCCTATACTTGAAGGACTACTGCTCAGATGGAAGTATGGTAAACAACTGTCAATACCATTGTAGGCACCACAGCAGGGCCAAGGAGGAAAGTCAGTAAGCTGGATCCACAATTCAGAATATTCTTTTAACAGGCAGCTTTTCACTCTGCACCTGAAGCTAAAACTTGTTGCTACTACTATGCAATTTCTTAAAATGAAAGTATTACTCTGGGGAATATTTAAAATATATATCTTTTTCTATTAAAAATATTTATCTTTTTTCCAAAAACAAAAGTCAGTTCCAACTGAAAAGTATTTTTTGAATTATTGGGGATATAGAAAAAGGGGGCAAGTGGAAAAATAAGTGTCTTTGCTACTATCAATGAGACTAGCCTCCTGATAATAAGATTGAAAAGGAACTATCTGAAACAGCAGGAACTGATGTTTTATCTAAGGGCATTTAGTAAGTCACCCTTTCTATCTTCTGCAGACCAGTACCAGCTCTATCCTGGGCACCAACGTGCCCTCCAGCAGCCTTTGAAGGGCATATGTTGCTGGTAGGACCTAGAACTGAAGTGGTGTGAATATAAAGTAATGAGACTGATGTGTTTTTTAAACACACATCTGCACGTGTGCACACACAGACAGAGAACACAGAATACATACATTCAGGTGAGTGACACTCCCCACCAAAGTAGTCACCAGGGAGGTTCCACATATCTCAACGATCACCAAAATTCTTACGACATCTCTGGAACTTCCCTCTGGGAACTGTTCACGAGCTACACATGAAAACGGCTCTGACGACTTTACAGGGGCACCTCATTTATGACTCCAAACCCTCTTGTAAATCCTCCTCTTCCAGAGGCTTCAATAGCTTCTGACTAGTTTCAAACTTAAAACTCTCTCTCCTATAACCCCAAAAGATTACAGATTTGCTCACAGAAGGGAGGCAAATCTCCCGAGAAGCAAAATCAGTGATAGAGTAAATCCCTAGTGGCCTTGATCAGTGAATCGTCGTTTCAGATCTTAGCTTCTGCCTGAATAAGAGGGAGAAGTTGGAAGAGATGACCCATAAGGTTCCTTCCAGTTCTAACATTTTAGGAGTCCATGTTTCCAGATGTTTCTAGACTTTGAGGACAGTTCCAGAAATGTTTTCACCAATGACAACATCATTGGAAAAACTATGCAGTATCTTGCTGGGGGCACTCAAGGAGGACAACATACATTGGGACATACAAGCTCTGAAAGGTTTGTTAAATGCCAGTCACATGACTTTATAGTAACAGCTCATACATGCACAGGGAATGCCAACCCATCTGAGATTCCCTAAAATCACATCTTAATCCCTATTCTCAATGAGCCCAGATGGGCAGAAGCACCAAGCACCACCAGGGATGCAAAAGACACATGGTGTCAGCTGATAAGGAAAATAAACCCCAAAGGTCCATGGGACTGAATTTATCAGCTGCATCCAGCTAGATACCTTGTTTCCATAGTATGGAGTTTCAGCATTGTTCTTGCCTGACTTCTGGGCAAAGTTTTTGGACTTCAGATCAACATTGCAGATAACCCTTGGCCATGTGGAGAGTAATAATGATGTCCAATTGTCCTTTATCTCACAAGTGGAACCCTGGAAAAAAGAAGGCTATAAACTGTGGGGTGGGGCTAACTGCACAGTATATGTTCATAGTTCCAGTCAATCTCAATTATCTGCGTATGGATTTTTGCACAATGCGTACTCAGTGCCTACCCAGCTTTCCCTAGGCTCCCGTGGCATACCTTGGGTTGTAGTCCATTATAACCTGTTAGTGTGGAAAATCCATGGGATTTGTTGTCAGGAGACCCAGTGGTCCAGCCTGGGCTATGCGGCTGCAGTTTCACCATCTAAAAATGGGGTTAATCCCACTTACATGTTAGGTCTCCTAGTAAGACCAAGTTAAACAATGACTGAAATGGTCTGTCCACTACATAGCATTAATCAATGTTACTTTTTAACAGGGAATGTTAATTAGCTCTTCTAGAAGCAAAAACTCAACTGATTTCATTAGGAATATTTACTTGTGGCAAGGGTCAGGAAAAGGGCTAATATAATCTTTTTGGATCTACCAAAGAACTATATTGTTCCACTTCCTTGAAAAAGATGTAACCTATTTTTATCTGCAAGGTCGATTTAAAAATACACCCTGTAAAAAGAAGTCAGATCTATCGGTTTGAGAAGGTATCCCCTCTTTGTCTACCTTTTCTAACTCTGGCTATTGTGCTCCTGAATCTCATTCCAAGTGGATGCTGCCAGATTTGGCCCAGAAGCCCTCGGGCATGGGTCACTTAGGGGGTGGGGAGTGCTTCTGGCCTGGGTCACATGGAGGCAGAAACACAGTTCCCTTGGATATAGACTACAAAGGCCCTGGAACCTCTCAGAACCACATCAAGGTGTTTTGCGATAAAGAAAAACCCAAAGTGAGAACACTCCGTTCTTCAGGATAAATGACCAAGCCCAAAACAAAGACCTCTTAAAAATAGGTAACACTGTTCACGAGGTGCTACTTGGCCCCGGCCATGTTGCTGGACCGTAACAGATACTGATCCACACTTCCTTTTCGCCGACTCACAGTCCGCCTCTCATTGTCAAACATGCGCTGCAATTGCAGTGCCAGCTGCCGGTCTTCTTCCTCTTGCTGCAATTTCTGCTCCATCTCTCGCAGGACTGGGTCTGTTGGGGCCAGACCCACCTCACCACTGCTTTGTCGCAGTTTCTTAAGGGACCCATTTTGTTCCAAGTGCTTGGTCTTACAGTGTCTTTTCCGGCCCCGACGCAAGGAAGGAAGTGGCTCCTCACCTAGGTTGTTTGCCAGAACACCATTAGGCAGATCAAAATGATTCACTGTCTTCAGCTGTTTCTTTGTTTTGAGAACCCCACCCGAAACACTGTTTTTGGGCAGCGCTGAATTAACTGCCGAGATTTTCATGGCCGTGCTTATGCAAGCTTTGTCTAACTTGGCATCTGGGGTTGACCCTGACTCTTCAAACTGCTCTCTCGCCAAAGAAGTCCCACTAGCTCCCACTCTGAATTCTGAAGAACAGCAGGTTTCCAATGGGATCTCAATGCTCCTTTTACTGTCACTGCCTTGTTCTGCTTTTGTTTGGCTAACAGAGGGGAAATAATCCAGGTCAGAGGGGGTGGGTCCAACACACTCAGAGAGCACATGCCCACTGCACAGTTTTGCATTTAAAGCCAGAACTGGCTTCTCCTTGCTAGAATGGATAACTTCAGAGACGAGCAAGTCTTCCCCTGTTTCTGGAGCCAAGGAGGTGAGGGTGGCTTTTGAAAGGGTTTTTTTGATCTGCCGCTCCTGAAAGATCTGTTCCCACTTCTTGAGGATCCGTGGACTGGCCTCATAAGAAGTCTGCTTCTGTAGGCTTCTGCTTAGGTTGCGGGGTGTTGATTTGATGATGAGGGGACTTAGCACACGGCCATCAGGGAGTCTTTTGGGAGGAGTACATGGCGAGCAGACAATGGGCTTGAAGTGGTTGAGCTCTTCCGAGATGCTGTCGTTGCTCTCAGGGCTGATGGAGCGCTCGGGCTTATGTAGGGAAGCCAAGGATGAGAGGGAGCTGAAGGGCAGACGCTTTTCAATGGTCAAGTCAGGGGCAGAGAGGCAGCGGTTGTTCTGAGTGGACAAGAGGACACCAATAATGGGGTTGGAGGATGGGGTTATAGTTGTGACCTAAAAGAGATAAAAAAGATTATACATACATACGTACGTACATACATACATACATTTTTTTCCCCTTCATAATTCCTTCATAATGGTACAGGGATAGGGAAGGAAAGGGTAAAAAAAGGGACAAAGAGTGATGTGAGCCGAAGGAATGGGGAAAATCCCTAACCTAGAATGTTACCATTTGCAGAAATTCCTACAATCTTGAAACAATAAAATTAAAAATCTACAGGGAAAAAAGTCATCTAGAACTTTTAAAAAACATTCGTCTACCAACCCTCATGCCACCCATCTGGCTATTAATTCAAACTCTCTTCCTTCATACCTATTTGTAAAATTCCCCAACATAACCAGTATGCCTAGGACCCTTGTGCCTCTTCTCATGGAACGGTTTCTTTCATGGCCATGCGCAGGAGGTTATGGGACAGGACTAGAAAGCCCCAGGAGCCTGTGTCTAAGGTAATACCTTGGCTTTGCTGGATGGCGCTGCTCGGAGTCTGCTCTTCGTTTTGTCCTGAGCAGTGTCACTGCAGCTCTGACTCCTTTCTACTTTTAGGTTCCTAAAAAAGAATAAATAAAAGACAAATAGTCAAGCATAGCCTATAATGCTAAGGAAAAAAAAAAGAAAATCTCTTCTATGCTTTCAAAGCCACCCACCAAGAAAGACAATTCCCTTGGGCAAATGCAATGGAAAATGAGTTAATTTATAAACAAAACACATTCTAAGAACAAATCCTGTCAAAAGAGAAAGAGTTTTCCAGAGAGGACATTTGGTATAAGCCTTTGTTTCCAAACTAGACTTGTTTCAGTGACACAAGACCAATGGCTGTTTTGCTCATGCTTTGAGAGATACAGGGATACTTCACCTTCCTAAATAGGGTGGAAACAGTGTTCAATCACCTTTGCAAACAACAGATTTTTTCCCCCCTCTAAATGTCTCTGCAATCAATCTAAATCACCCATGAAACAAATATTTAAGTACCTACAAAATGCATAGCAGTGTTCTAGATTTTTACATAGGGAGTCAAAATTAAATGTAGTCTCTCTCCCTTAATCCATTACATTTGAGCTTCCAAAGGCCTAAATTCTGGTGATTTAAGAGATTTCAAGAACACGTGATTTTTTTTGTCTTATGCATGTATTACATTATGTAAAACCCACACCAAAACGCACAGTACCTGTATTATAACATTAATCTTACTGTGTAAGAATTACGTGCAGATGACTATCACCTATCCCACAGACTGTCAGTAGGAAGTCTTGATTTTCTTATTATTCACCTTTGTTTCCTACTCTCCAACTCCTGCCTAATACATGTCCGGTGGGAACAGTGCTTTTAGAAAGGCTTGCAACTGATATGTACCTGTTACAACTCTACTTAACAAGCAATTATCATAGACGTTCCATATGCATTCACTGATGAGCATTATCTGAGCCGTGAAACTACAGAGAAGAGTAAGATGCAGGCTAGGTCTTCAAGGAATCCAAGCCCAGTGAGGAGCACAAATAACTCAATACAGTACAGTGAAATGATACAACAAAAAAGGTGTGCTAAAAGCCTGGCATAAAAGCGGGGTATTAGTTACCTGGAATGAAGTAAGAGCAGAGCTGCAAAAGCCAGAAGTCAAGGTGGACACACAGTCATGCAGATGATCCCAAACAGAAATTAATTCCCTAAATAATTCTACTTAGCTTTGGAATAGAATATATCATATCTACTTTTCTGTAGCAAAAGTTTTACTTTTCAAGTTTTACTATGCCAGGGAAAATTTATAAAGGTGGTAATAAGGTATATTCCCGGTGTACCTCTCCTCTCCCTACATCTCTAGCAGGCCTGCGCTACCTATCCACAATGGCTCCCATTCCAGCATTTCTGTGTTATTCCTCCCATTCAAAACCCTCTCATCCTGTGTCTCAGGGCCACATCACCTTGCTAGATGGCTTTAATCTGATGAAATAATCTGTGCTATGTTAGTAACAGGAGAGAGTGGTGGCCAACCAGTATTACATGGCTGCACTTCACCAAGAAAATTCAACACTGAACCTAAACAAATAATGTGAGAGTTGTACTATCTAGTGGGAGATTTATTTTGGAACAGATAGGAAACTTCAACATCACCCTATGAAGGCAGCTGCTTAAAAGTCAGCTTGGTTTGTATTTTACCTAGAATAGTATTAAAATCCATTTGCACTCCCAGAACTTACACCAACTGTCAGTGGTGTCAGTCCCCTAGAAGTAAAGTGGATGGCAGATTAAAATGCTGGGGTGAATAACGTAAACTTTGGGTCAGGAGGAATGGATACAGAGCTGAAAAAGACAGCATTATTACTTCAAACATATGACTTGTTTGGCATAATTTCATTGGAGAAAGAAGTAGACACTTAAACGCTCATCGACCTAAGAAAGAACTTTGTAACTTTCAATAGTCACTGATAGCTTTAGGGAATACTGAGCTCTGTGTCATTAGAGGTGTTCAAACTGAGGTTAGACCTATACTTTAAGGTCTAAACAGAACATAATTAAGAATTAGCTTAGTATAATTTTTAAAAACTGGCTATGAACCCATTTTGTAAGCACTAACAGAGTCAAATTTAAAGACACTGGCTACATGCCCAAGTTATCAAATATACAAATTACAAGCACCTATTGCTGAGGAGAACTTCTTACTCCCTAAATGCCAAGTGGTAAAAAAAAAAAAAAAATTTTTAAAGGCTCAGAAAGAAAACCCACACTTGCATCACTCAAGCACACCACAAAGACACCCACTCTGATAATCTAAAATCTTTTTGGTAAGCCTCAATATGGCTGAAACTATCATTGCCTCTTTCATTCATTTGGTCAGCAAACTTTACTGAGCACCAACTCCGTGCAAAGCACTAGAGATGGATTGATGAAAAGGTCATCTTTACTGGTGGGAGCATCCAGTCACTGAAGTCCACCACACAGCTGATTTAGATAGCATGAAAATACTATAGGAGAGCAGTAATTATATAGCTAAACTCTCGAAGAGTTATCTTCTAAGAGTTTTATAGTTTTAGCTTTTACATTTAGGTGTCTGATCCACTTTGACTTAATTTTTGTATATGGTGTGAGGTTGAGGCCCAACTTTAATTTTTGGCACATGGATATCCAGCTGTCCCAGCACCAAATGTGAACAGACTATTCTTTCCTCTTCTAAATGGTCTTGGCACCTTTATTGAAAATCAGCTGACCACAGATATATGAGTTCATTTTGAGACTTTAAATTCTATTCCAAAGACTAATATATCTACCCTCATTTCAGTACTACACTCTTTTGATTGCTGTAGCTTTGCAGTAAGTTTTGAAATCAGAAAAGTGTGAGTCCTCCACTTTTGTTCTTTTTCAAAGTTGTTATGGCTATTTGAGATCCTTTACAATTCCATATGTGAATTTTAGTATCAGCTTTTCATTTCTGCAAAAAAGGAGATTGGAATTTTAATAGGTATTGCGATGAATCTGTGAAACAAGTTGGGGAGTACTGGCATCATAACAATATTAAGTCTTCTAGTCCATGAGCACAGAGGGTGTTTCCCTTTATACAGGTTTTCTTTAATTCCTTTCAACAATTTTTTGTAGTTCAGTGTCAAGTCTTACACCTCTGTGGTTAAACTGATCCATAACTACCCTATTCTTGTTGATGCTATTGTAAATGGGTTCAGATTGTTCTCTATTAGTGTATAGAAATTCAACTGATTTTTGTGCTGTGATCTTGTATCTTGCAACTTTGCTAGTTTATTAATTCAAATAGTTTTTTCATAAATTCTTCAGGATTTCCTATGTCACTTGTAAATAGGGATAGTTTTACTTCTTTCTTTGCATCTACGTGCTTTTTCTTTTTTTCCAGTTTTACATATAACTGTCATATATAGGGTGGGGCAAAACTAGGTTTACAGTTTTGAGTACATGAAACACAGTTTACATAATAATACTCTTGTACTATTATTTATTAATTGTATTATTTTCCATACAAACAACTGTAAACCTACTTTTGTCCCACCTAGTATTATAACATTGTGTAAGTTTAAGGTTATTTTCTTAGTGGTCACCCTGGGGATTACAATTAACATCTTAATTTACAGAAATCTATTTCAAATTAATATCAATTCAATTTCAATAACATACAAAAACTTTGACCCTATATAACTTATCCCCCCATTGTGTTGTTACAGTCACACAAAGAATCACAAAAATCATGAATGTGAAAACATTGTAAAAACAATAAACATAATATACAGATATTATTACTATAGTATTTGGTCACCTTAAGAGGCTTCAAAATCCTGGCTGAGACTAGTCAAGAGCAGTAAACTTGATATTGTTCTTAGGACTGAAAGAGCTCAAGTAATACCTTCACTAAAAACAGGGAAGAACTGCTCCTCCCACCTTTGTATACATCCATTTCTGTATCCCTAACCCTAACACAGTGCCAGGCACACAGTGGACATAGTCAATAAATTTCTTGTAAATGAATAAAAATATGTATATATAGAAATGCCTCTCTCTTCTTTAAGGAAAGAAAATTTTAACATTTATTAGGGATCTATTATCTGTCAGGCACTATCCTAAGTGTTTTAAATATAGTGTATCTCATTTAATCCATACAGAAACCCTATGAAATACTAATCATCATCCTCAATTTACGAAGAACTGAGGGAAGTTATCTTTCCAAGGTTACGCAGCTGGAGCCAAGATTTCACCCTGTATCTCTATGATTCCAAGGCCTGTGCTCTTTCTACCACAGCATACTGATCTTACAGTCTACTCTGCCATAGAACAAACCCAGCACGTCTAGGGAAGCTCTCTCTCCTAAACACATCATGAAATCATAAACAAGAGAAAGCAGCATTGTCTGAAAGGCAACTGGTTTAAAATTTCCACTGCCAAGAGGCCAGATGGTTTCTGGGATGTCTAGTTAGACTAAAAATATCCATAACCACAATGAGTCTGACTTACAAAGAAAAGGAGGGACAGCCAGTATAAACATGCAGCTGGAAAGCTAGAAGATTTAATCCTTATAAAACACTGCTTAAAGAGTTTTCAAATGTTAATGCATGATATAAAAAATTAGTTCATGCTCTCAATTGCTCACTCATCACTCTCTCTCACGCACACATTAGTTTCTTTGAATCAAATTCTCAGGTATGACAGAGCTGAGTCCCACCAAGAAGCTAAAGGCTAGAGAAGACCCTCCTCCCAGCCCCTGGCCTGGGTGTGTGATCCTCCATCACTTCCACCCCCCACCCCGAAACACACATACACACATATTTGAATGAAACCAGCAGCTTCCTTAGGCCTAGTTATAGCTGCCATACAACCAGAAATGGGTGAGATTTTGTTAAAATCCTTCTCTTGTGTTTTTATGAACTGGGTTATCTGCCTTATACAGACCAGTATTCTTTCTTCCTTTTTTAAGTGCACAATTAAGTTTTTAGTATGTTCACAGAGTTATTAACCATCACCACAATCAATTTTAGAACATCTCCATCACCTCATAAAGAAACCTCATACCCTTTAGCTAATACTCCTAAACCCCACCCT